CATCTTCAGATCCTGCTCCATTCTCCCTTGATTCCCTTTCACTGTGCTGTCTCCAGCCCTCTGCTCAAGTATCAGATAAAGGACAGCATTTCCTCGACTCTGTAATCTTCTACAAGCGTGAAGGTCATGCCTAAGTCTTTTGATTCTCTCCTTTGACAGTCTGAACATTCTCACTGTTCTTGCTCATCCATGTAGAGCACGTCCCTCCACTCAGTGAGGTTCTCGGTGTCCCTCCACTGAGATTCCTCCATTCTATTGATGTTCTTTCCTGTGTGTGGAATCACCTGCTCCCAAGCATCCTGATGGCCTTTTTCTGAGGTCACTGCACATGGTCCAATGTGTCTTCTACACAGAGGCATAAAGTTGGGCACTGTCATGGCTTTATTTTGCAGGCCATTAAACATCACACAGCTGATCACTCATGCCCTTCCCCAAAGTGGGAGTAAAATTCACAGGGTGAGAAAAAGATGGTTTATTAGGACAGAAAAGAAATGGAAAGTGAAATAACAACAACAACAATAATAATAACAACTCTAATATTAATAGAACTAAAGTATACAAATCACATGATGCACAACACTGTTGCTTTACACCCAATGAATGATGCCCAGTGAGTTCCTGAGCAGCAGCTCCCAGCCGTCTTTTCCCCTCATGTATATACTGAGCATGACAGCATATGGTAGGGAATATTCCTTTGGCCAGCTGGGGCCAACTGTTCTGGCTGTCTCCTCCCAACTCCTCCCAAATCCTTTTTTTCTTTCCCTTCTCACAAACTCTGTCTGCTGCGTTTCCCCATATGATGAAGTCATCAATGTATTGCAGGTGTTCCTGCTCTAGTGCAGTCTGGTTAAGTCCATGGAAAATGGTAGGGCTGGATTTCCAGTTCTAGGGTGGGTGTACTGGATACCCCTCCAAGTGAAAGCAAATTGTGACCTGACTCTGCTGCCAAAGGGATTGAGAAAAACATGCTAGTGATATTGATTGTGCCAGGCCATAATCTGGCTGCCTTTGATACAAACTGCCTCCAGTTTAAATTGAAGTTCTGGCCTGTCTGGCATGGCATCACTTAGCAGCAGCATGGCTTCTTCAAGGTACTATAATCTACTGTTGGTCTCCACTCTCAATCAGATTTTCAGTGGCCATGTGAAACTGTTACAGGGTGAGCAAGTCCTGCTGACCCCTCCAGGCCTCCCCAGCTGACCAATCAGCTTTTACATGGAATCAGGGGGTCTTGGTTGTTGTGACCAAGACCACCTATATAATATAGGGATGAGATGGTTAATACCTCATTTATGAGTTCTTCCTCTTCTTCCCCTCAGTCTGCAGCCACCTCTCTTCCTCCTCTTCTTCTCTGGTCCTGCTTTGGATCAGTCTTCCTCCTGCTGCTGACTCTTAGAAGAGGCTCCTTCATCCCTTACTAAAGGAGCTGACTTCTACTTCCAGTATTTCTTCCAGTGAAGATGGTGTCGGTACAGGTGGGTCCTTTGGTCCAGATGCAGTGTCTGTCACTGG